GATGTAGTTAGAGGGTATTAAGCTCAGTGAAATAAGCCAGGCAGAGAAAGACAAGTACCAAATGATTTCACTCATCTGTGGAGTATAGGAACAAAGAAAAAACTGAAGGAACAAAACAGCAGCAGAATCACAGAACCCAAGAATGGACTAACAGTTGCCAAAGGGAAAGGGACTGGAGAGGGTGGGTGGGAAGGGAGGGATAAGGTCAGGGAAAAAGAAAGGGGGCATTACAATTAGCATGTATAATGGGGGGGCATGGGGAGGGCTGTACAACATAGAGAAGACAAGTAATGATTCTACAGCATCTTACTGTGCTGATGGACAGTGACTGTAATGGGATTGTGAGGGGGACTTGGTGAAGAGGGGAGCCTAGTGAACATAATGTTCTGCATGTAATTGTAGATTAATGATAACAAACCAAAAAAATAATGAAAAATTTTTGTGCATCAAAAGACATTATCAAGAAAATGAAAAGGCAACATATGGAATGGAAAAATATTTGCAAATAACATCTGATAAGAGTTTAATACCTAGGATATATAAAGAACTATTGTACTTCAATAACAAGACTAACAATCCAATTAAAGAATAAGAAAAGGACTTGCCTGGAAATTTTTTCAAAAAATATATATACAAATGGCCAAAACACATGAAAATATACCCAGTATTATTAGCCATGAGGGAAGCAGATCAATAACACTTTATGCTCACTAGGATGGCTATAATAATAATAAAACCAGAAAATGACAAGTGTTGTTGAAGATAGAGAGTAATTGGAATTCTTGTAATTGCTGCTGGGAATATAAATGGTTCAACTGCTGTAGAAAGCAGTTTGGCATTTCCTCAAAAAGTTAAACATAATTACCATTTGACTAAGTAATCCCACTCTTATGTATATACCCAAAGAATTGCAAAGCAAATTTATGTACATGCCTGTTCATAGGAACACTATTCACAATAGTAAGAAGATGGAGACAACCCAAATGTTCATTTATACATGAATGGATAAACAAATTGTGGTATATATATACAATGTAATATTATTCAGCCATGAAAAGGAATGAAGTACTGATACGTGTTATAATGTGAAGGAATCTAGACATAATTTTAAATGAAAGAAGCTAGATAAAATAATATTACATACTGTGTGATTCTGTTTATATAAAATATCCAGAATAGGTAAATCTATAGAGACAGCAGACTGGTTGGTGTGAGGAACTGGGGTGGGAGGGCATACAAAGTAACTTCTTAATGGGTAAGATTTCCTTTTGGGGTGATGAAAATATTTTGGAACTACATAGAGATGGTAGTTGTATGATATTGTGATTGCACTAAATTATTGACTTAAGATGGTTAATCATGTTGTGCAGCTTAAATTTATGTAATTTCATCAGTTTTATCTCAGTAAAGCTAGAAAAAAATTATAATACACAGTCCAATCCAATATAAATAAAATGGTTAATATGTTTATGAATTTCAACTCAATTAGAAAAAAAGGATGCCGTCGGCCTTCATGAAAGGTGATGAGCTTGAACTCAAGCAGAGTCAGAGACAAAGGAGGAGATGAATCAGACCATGAGAATGGTTCTGGACAGTGAAGAATGGGAGAGGGGAGAAGTAAAGGATGCTGCTGAAACTTCCCACCTGGAAGAACTGGTGCTACATTGCTGTAGATGGGAATGAGGGAGGAAGATCAGGTTTGAAGGGGCACTGAATGCATTTAGTTGAGTCTTGAGGTTTGGAGGTACCTGCAAAAGTGATGGACTGCCCTCACAGTCAGTTGGATCTCTGGCTCCTGGAATATAATGGGTAGAAGAGCTATGGGATACCCTGGTGGACACACCTGCATGAAACTCTCTTCTGAATAAAAATATTGGTCATGTACAAGAAATCACTAACTTCCTACTTTCCTAATGTTAAGCAGAAAGACAGATGGGCAGAATGAAAAGAGGGTGGGACCCACCAAGAACTCAGGGAGTTAGTCAGATTAAGCTAGAGAGCCACAAAGGACTCCCCCACTGTGCAACATTGGTTCATTTCACATGCAGTGTATGAATCTGAGCTGACCTGGAGGCTTGCCCTAGCTAATACAGGTGAGATAAGGCAGAGACATGGAACAAACATTAATGATTAATTTCCCTAAAAATGCTAAGATGTGAATATTGGGAACAAGAAGGACTTATCCTGAGGCTAAGATCAGAGAGTTGGGAGATTAGATTCCTAGCCTATTCTTTGGTTCAGCCAACGACTTATTCTAAGGCAAGGCAAGCAGTCTTAACTGATGTGTCCCAGTGTGTGGGAGTGGCCACTATCTTGGAGAGGAACGAAAAGTTTGTCCTACAGAATTACCTAGAGGACTGGCTACAGACAATGACACATTGTTTCCCTTGGAGGATAGACATTGTGGGATGGCCTGACAAGCCTATGCCCAACAACCCTTTACCTTTATCCCATTCTTAAAACTCCTTAAAAGACAGAGTCCCAGCTTTTGGGTGTGCCTCCTCCTCTGTGGGGTTGCCCGCACTCCCCTTTCTTTGAGTGTGTCAGTGTCACTGTCCTACTCTAGATAAGTAGGGAGGGGCTACTGAGAGCTCTGATTTGCGCTTGCAAGTTCCTGTCACCTGGGTGACCTAGTCAGATCTGCGGTTATACAATCATGCTCCTTAGTAACCTGCCTGAAAATCTCTTTTCTTTTCCTTTAGGAAGTTCTCAGAACATAGTCTGACTCCATCCAGTGCTCTGCGATTCCCTCAAATCCTGGGGTGGTAGGGGCTTAGTTCCTGCATACAGATTCAAGTGGACGCTGGATGCCAGGTGACAGTGGCTTCAGGAGTTGTCAGGGATTAGGTCCTATGCCAAGCAGCAGTTCAGTGAGTGTCCCTTTCCTCCCTCTGTTTTTCCTTCCTCTCTACTTTATTCAGGTAAACCTGCTTTTATCTACCTTGACTCTAGCCCACCTCTCCTTTGGAGTATGTTTAAATAAATCTTTCATTCTGTTTCACTACTGTCTCTCTGTCCTTCAATTCTTTGTTGTGGTGGGAACAAGAACCATGGGGAACAAAGTCAACTGCCCCCAACACTACACTACTACCATGACAAAAGATCCTCTCAGTAGAGTCAGTTTTGCCATTTTAATTGATTAGTGATTATGTAATATGAAGGATTCATCCAAGGACACTTAGCAAATCCACCCCAGAGCCAGAATTTGTCCAACCCCAAGCTCTCATCACTCTTGCTTCAAAACCACACTCATCAGGTACCATTTCACTGCTGACAGCAGTATGGGGCTTAATTCCAGATTCAAGGACCAAGAAGTGCATCACTTCCTAGGCTGGTTGGCCTCCTGGGGAAATATATCTATTTTTCTTAAAAGTCTTTCCAATTCCAGAAAATTAGCTGGAACAGATTTTTTGGCATCTTAAAGCAAGAGCAAGGTCATTGCCCTGAACAAACTCAGGTTTCGCCAGAGAATCCTTCTGCATCACACATCTGCATTCTCAATTTCTTCCGGCCACTTTTGTTGCTCTGTCTTCACCCTGTTACACTCCCTTGCCCAAAGAAAAGTGAAACCACAAATCCCTGTGTAGAGGAAACACATCCTTTGCTCTAGGGGCAGTGACTCCGCACCACCATCTCTCTGAATTCT